TTTTGAGAAGCAAAGAATGAAATTTGTTAAATGTTTAAAAACAAATAAAGGGAGGACGGTAAATAATAACGTAAATAGAAATTTAAACGAAGAAAAAATTTAAAAAAAACGTCCCCGGATGGGCTTGAACCACCAACCTTTCGGTTAACAGCCGAACGCGCTAACCGATTGCGCCACGGAGACGTGATATGAGGTGTTTTTATCAAAGATAAGTATTAAATGTCTTTATTGTTTACTAATGTAACTCCATCTCTTTTAAGCTCTGGAAGGAACGAAGCGTCTAGAAATACAATTCCAAGGACAAAAGGATACTGCTGCGGACAGCTTCCCGGATGACTTCATCGACGCCGTAAGGAGACAGGCTCGTATACCATCGTAAGTAAAGAAAATAAAACAAACATCGAATCATTGTGTTACACGATTCCCACTCCACCCCTCAGGTCAGGCATTCCCTTTTGACCTTCCCCTTCCCATTCCATTACCCAATTCCCCTTGCTACACCTAGGGAGATTCAAAAATACCTAACACTGTAAATTTGAATTTGATCCCTGCGCTAGTCGTGTTCTGACTTAGATCATCCCAGAGGTTTTTCAGGGTTTGATAAATTTGGAGTGTCTTTAGTTGTCCAAAAACTGATATTATCAAGTTCTAAGTTTTTTGATTGTTATAATCCACAGAGAACGGGTCGCAGCATTGTTCGTCAAAGCTATTGCTGTAGAGTTCGAAATCTTACCAATCCTCATAGCTAACGGTAAATAAATGAAGCCATTACACTTTACGGCACACGACATGTTAACGGTACGGAATTCCTGACGACATCCTTTGAACGAATCACAACGCGCGAGATTACTATTTATCCAATTATAATGCTTGAACACACTACCGTCAAAGAATCGCGGGACAGCACAGTTCGTTCGATCGTTCGTTCGTTCGTTCGTTCGTTCGTTCGTTCGTTCGTTCGTTCGTTCGTTCGTTCGTTCGTTCGTTCGTTCGTTCGTTCGTTCGTTCGT